AATTTTTAATATTTGTAATAAAAGTCAAGCCCATCGATTTAGTGCAAAAGTTTTGCTCTATTTTTATGAAATTTTTAAAACAGATTTTCTGAATCGTATAATTTGCGGAACAAGCCCGTTAGCTTTTACGTATACGTATTTTTATAGCAACCTTTTTAAACTTCATGCTCTGAAATTGAATACCACACATTCGCATTTATTGTGAATTTCTTCATATTTTGGGATTTTTGCCATTTTAGTTGGTGCGTCGTCATATTACAGTGAAAAAAAAATTAAATTATATAATCTTCCTTTTTTGATTAATGGCTCACGTTGCCATAGTACAACAGTAAAAATTTTTAGCAACAAAAATGCATTTTTTTTTTGTCACTAAATTAGTGAGTCATCAAGTCTTTTAAGTTATTTCAGTTCGAGCTGCTATCGCTAATGTTTCTTGATTACATGCTTCACTTAATATTAGCTATTTTCATTTTAAAATAAATTATTACTACTCATGCTGAGCATCATTCTTCTGATAAGTAAAGCACAATTTGCATACTAACTGGGCAACTAAGAGCACATTCCACTTAGCTTTTAAACTTAGCTTTCAAACCTAGCTTTAACCCATTTGAAAGTCATGTAACCCCGTCAAGTTTATCATTAGTAAAATATTTTGTTTATTAAAGTTTTCAATTATGCACCTAAACAGCCAACAAATACGAGTACAATACGTTCGTATAAGAATTTGTGCTTTCATAAATACATAAAAGCATATAAATATATATTTACTATTTATTTGAGTACCAGTGAGCTGCGCACAATACACCTTTACATAGAATACATTTATCTCTGTCGCTTTTTGAAGATTCCTCATTATTTCTTCATTACCCATTTGAGTGGCTTTACTTAAATTATGTCACGTTTTGTTGGTTAATGGTGCTTGGCGCCTAAAAATTTGCTTGTGCACTTAGCTAAGGTCTGTCTTGTTTTGTCGAACATTTATAAATTATCTTACACAACATATAAAAATTAAAATAGAACTTTGGGATCAGAATTAATACACACACATACTCACATTAAAACTGTTTTTCTTTTATTTAATGTTAACGTTATTTATGTAGATAGCAGCGTGCTTAGAAGAAATAACAATACTTGCTTTACTTTGTGCTTTATACAAATGAATATATAAAGTCATACCAGTGCGTAGAACTCATGACTGAACTATGAGTGGTGTGGAAGAAATGCCTTATAAAGGACTCATCTAAATGATTTTTACAGTGGGCATTTTATGATCGATATGTAAATAGGTCCCGAAATTCCATGGTTTTGGCTGCCTACATAAAGCAGTTATATCGCAAAATTTGTTGCTAAACAATCAGTGGTATAGGAGATATATATATAGCTTTTAGAGCACCGATTATATCTTGCTACATTAAATTCTGCACACACAAAAATTGAGATATTCGCGAAATTATGGGCAAAATATAGTAAAATTGCGTACTTATTTTTTCTCTCTGACGTCAGGACGTTTTTTAAGTACTTTGTAACTTCAAAGACAAGATAAATTCAAAAAATTATTTAAAAAATTCTGTGCAATGTAAAATAACAATGTGGCTATCAAATAAAGAGAAAATTTGGTAGAGTCAAAAAAAAATAATAAAATTAATTAAAAGTGCATTTCCAATATCTATTCGTTCTTCTAAACCAAAAAAATTCTCTATAATTTTCTCTTTCATCTGGTATCCATATTGTTATTCTAAATTTCACTGATTCTTTTAAATCATTTTTTAAATTAATCATAATTTTAAATTTCAAAGTCTTTTCAAAAAACATCCTGATGTCAGAGTGAAAAACTAAAAACGCAGTTTTGCTATATTTGGCCCATTGCTTCGAGAGTATTTCGATTGTTTCGCGTGTTAAGAATGTGTTTTTTTTTTTTGGTTTTCGTCGCATGGTGTTATTTACCAAATAGCTCACCAAATTGCTCGGTTTTAGCTGTGCAAATGAAGGAGTTTTAAAATAAAACCCCATATCTGAATAATCAGGAATCTGAACGATCTTTGAAATTATGACTGCATATTTTTTGTTTGTAGTTAGTGAAAATAGTGCGAAATTTTATGAACTGAACAATCAGTTGAATGAGAGCTATATATTTTAGTTGTCCGATTTTGCCGGTTCTGACAAATAATTAATCCATTACAGAAAGACACTGTATAACTGGGTGACTAGATTTCTTTCAGATAGACACACATGGCTAAATCTACTTAGCACGACATTCTGATCATTTTGGTATCTATCTATTCTTCTTCTAGTTATCATACCGTTTCAAGGTTATGAAAGGTATACAAAAACCATCGCAACATTGTTCATTTCGTTTCATAGCACTTGTCTTCAGAGTCCCTCCATTATAATACATCTCCACTTACATACGTACATACTCACTTTATGTGAAATAGGAACTTTCTATGTGGAAAATTCATAGGTGAAGCTTTTCGCCCAATTAACATTTCTGGCGAGTCTGAATGTCCCAGCTGTTGGTATTGAAGCCCATTAATTATATAGACACAATACTCGAATATTTGAAAATACGTCTAACTACATACATACATATGCCGGTGTTAAATGCATAAATAGAATTAACAAAATGTGATGAGTTTGCTTTTTAATTTTAAGCGTCAAAAAGCTTGAACAAAAAAAGTAGCTTTTCTTACACTTTTCATATGAAAACTTGACTAGAAGAGAAAGTAGTTTTCCAAGCAGTTGAACTATTTTTTACCTTCACAAAACAAATACGAAAATGCAATAAAAAAAACAAGACAATGAAGTACATTGTTTCAAATTTTCTTTTCGTTACACATTTCAGGCAACATAAAAGCATTTTAGTAAAAGACTCGATTTAATAGGTGTGCAAAATTGAAATTGAAATGCTTCACCATTCACAAGGCACATTTCTAGTGTTATAGTTGTTGTTGGTAGCATTTTAAACACTTTGCTTTGTTGTTGTATAATTGCCATCAAACGTTTCATTCATTCATTCATAAAATTTTCCGCCACAGCACCAACAGCAGCATACTTAGTAGATATGTAAAAGGCACCCAACAACTCAACGATTCGCAATGGTGCCGAGGTGAGCGCCTCACTTACTTCAAGTTCCACTTTTTTGTATCTGCATGCCTGTTAAGATATGTATGTAATTGCTGCAATAACAGCAACAGTTGTGGTCATTATGATCACAAACCATTGACATCTTAGCGTTGACAGCGAAGTGTGATTTGAAAAATCATGCTCGTATGTGTGCTCGTATGTAAGTGACTGCTTGAATTTAGTGACGGCCGAGGCGCCGATGTTTGTGTCGAAATGGCGTGTTGAATGTAATTGGAAAACTAACTATTTGTAAGACATGTGTGCCTACATGGTTGCATGTGTACTTATTGGTGTGAGGTTTTTGCAACTAATGTTGCCTATCGAACGGAATTTATGAGTTGAGCAATGAGTTTTAAATGTGCAACTTTCATACACCATTTGTGTTAAATTGAAAAACTTACAAAGTTGCAAACGTAAGTCTTAAAGTTTCAAAAGCAGTAGAGTAAGGCCAAAGGGTATATCAGAGTGCTCGCTTAATCGATAAAACTTTATATGTTTCAAATATTTACGATACTAAAATTGCTAATTGAGTTAGTAATTTCCCAACTAAATTCACAAATTTTTGTTTGGCTCTAAGAAGCGGAATAGAATAACTCAAAGACCAAATAAAAGAGTTCTTAGATTAAATTTATATTAAACTATTTTGCATGAATAAAGCACAAAGAATGTGAAAAAAAAGTATTTAATTTCGAGTATTAAAAATATATGTTTTTTGTTGTTAACTTTGCAAACATAAGTATTTTTACGTTATAAACCTAAATGCCGGGCGATTTAAACCAATGTACCATTTTTTATTAACAATAATTCATCTATTGATTATTTATTTTTTTAGACCTTGAAAATGTTCGGTTCGGCGTCGGCCCAAATTGGCGGAAGTTCGGTTCGGTTAGGTTCGACTCTAAAAGTCGATGTTCGGTCGTTTCTTAGTAATTACCCTTTATAGAAAAAACTGAAGTATGCAGTTTTGTAGCGCATACAAGATGTGTGTTCGACAAAACTCTGAGCGCCGAGATTTGATCGGAAACCCTAAATCACAGGGCGAAAAATCCAAGCTGGCAACCCTAGCAATGAGCTCCTACCTAAATTGCGATTGTCGCACTAACTATTGTCGCAAATATTATTTACAGCCTGTACAGAGATTTGGAAGCCTCATCAAAAAGCAATAAATCTAGGAGCGGTAAACCTTGGTATTTTAGGGAAAGCGCTTGGTATTAATGATGCATCTTTAGTTAATACTGCAACATCAGCGTCGTTAAGCTGGCAGCCCGATTTAGAGTGTCCAAGAAGAAGTCCCCAAACTTTGCATACTTAACATCAACCCCATTCACCACCATCGTTTCACACTTAAGCATTGAACGAATTATCCCAACAATACCTAATGTAGCAGTATCAGTTACTCTTAGAGTATGTATGTTGGCGTGCTGATCTTATTTTGTAAATCTTAAAAGATTGTCGAGTGACCCAATATTTTCGCAGAAAATCACAAAATATTTCCTTTTGGATTTACCTCCTTCTGCTTAACACAATAACGGGACCATCTTTATTCGTAACTGGAACATTACGTTCTGTTTAAAAGTCTTGAGATGACATCCAAAGCCTGGATATGTTCCCATACCTGCAGGGTATAAGCGGAGATCACCCCAACTTCTCGTTAGACTTATTTTAAACATTACTTGAAGAATGTAATTGAAAATTTAAATTTTTTACAAAAACGCTAAGCTGGGTTTTTTTCTAAGGATCAAAGATCTTATAAAAATTAGGTCAATATTTTTCCGATAGATGTATTGGTATTGATACTGATTAGTACTGTAATGATGACAAAAATTCAATTTTTTGGTTTTCTTTTGTATTTTCAGAAGTAGTATGCCAACACAAATACATGAGTAGTGCACTAAACCATAAGAAAAACAAAACATCTTTAGCTCCCTAAAAAGAAAGGCTCGCAATAATGGCTTCACCCTTGACATCTACGCTCTACCGCCAGAGCAGCGGCATGTATGCCTCAACGCCACCTAAACACTATGCCATGGGTGGTGTGCAAAATAAAAATGAACGCAATCGCCTGATGGAGCTGCTACGTTCACCTAATTTACTTACATCACCAACTTTGGAACCCTCATCGAAGGGGCTACTAAATGGACCAGGACAAAATAATTGCTTCCTAAATTGTGCTGTACAGGTGAGTTGGGGAAAATATCTTTATTGCTTTTTATTTTGACATATTTATGTATTTTAAGTTTAAAAAAAATTAACTCAAGCTTGTAGTGCATTACTCCTACGTTGCTGGATGCGAGGCGTTCAATTTATAGTTTGATTCCTTTTTTAACTTTTTATTGAACTTGTAGGTAAACATTTAAAGTCATAACTTGCATAGTTTGCAAAGCCAATAGAAAATGTTAGGTATGGTTGTGAGTCCTACCATGTCTTGTTCTATCCTTCTTTACTTTTTTGGAACGAATTTCCTTTCTATATCGTAGGGCATTTGGCTGCTTTGATGTTGTATGTACCAAACCAATTATTCCTATGGATTTTATTCTAAATACCTTAGATAATCCCAGCCGTCCCCTTTTTTGTATTTTTTCGTGTTCCCTCTAATCGGATGTTAATCGAATAAATAAAAGGAGTTTGTTGGGTGTTAAATAACTCAAGTTCTCTTTTCACAACACATCTCTGCCACATCCTAGCCTAATGCCTAATATTTTCCAATGCAGGGCAGAAAGTGTTTCGCCATTTCATCCTCTTCAAAACAAGAATGTCAAATGGGGTTGTCATGTATGCCAATAGCATTCAGGTGCTCGTACCACAAGAAGTGATCAGTTAGCAAAGCAGCAAGCTGTGCGCAGTCCAATCTGCTCAATTAAACAATAATAGTTCTGAGATTGAGGGAAATACGAGTTCCACACGGTGGCGTGGTTGGTTTAGAGTTTTAGTGCTGTATCTGGATGCAGACTAAGGAATTCCACTCTCGTCCTGCCTTGCTTGGCGCTCCTATTGATCCAGGTTAGCTTGGATGTTACAGATGGTTCCTTAATTCGTGCAGAAGTTAGTTATCTTGAACAACATTTGGCAAAGGATCTTGGCCAAAATTTTCATTGCTGCATAAATATTAAATGGGTACGCACAACTTCCGATGCCCTTAGTGTAGATTGATCAGCGCTGATTCACAGCTATTTGACGCCCAACCCCTTTTTCGCAAACTATCCAGTACAAAAAAAGTAAGTGCACCTGGGCCACACTGTAGAATTGAAACTTACGTTACATATCTAGTATGTCTCATAACCAGGGAACGGATTTTTAGGACCTAAAAACCTATAAAAAAGGCAAAATAAAGTAACGAAATAGGCTGGAAAAGGCAAAATAAAATAGCGAAAAAGGCAGGAAAAGGCACTAGGTATTGTAAAAAAGGCAAAAAAAGGCAAAATAAAATATAGCGAAAAAGGCAGGAAAAAGCAAAAAAAAAGGTATTGCAAAAAAAGCAAAATAAGGCACTAAAAAAGACAGAAAATACGAAGAGCAATCAAAAAATAGATTTTTTTTAGAAATGTTTATATTACAAGTAAAAAGAGAAAAACTATGAACTAGTTTCATTATATGAAAAATTTGTACTTTGTATCTTTTACTATTTTATCCTTTCGAGTTTCTAACTCATAAAACTTTAATCTGTATAGTTGTAGTAACATTGAACCACAAGGTGCATTTTGAAGTTTTCTGGCAGCATTTTCATTCGATTTTCGCGAAGAAAAGCCTTAAATGTACTAAATGTGCGCTCGACGTAAGTTGATACAAGTGGAGCCCAATTTAAATATGGAACGTTTGAAACGTTCATATTATCAGGAATAAGGGCGTTTTCCTCGCTCTTTACAATTTTATCCACACCCCTTATTGTCTCCAAGCCTACGTTTGCTCAGAAAACGGCTTTGAATTTTTTCAACACCAATTTTGCAAGAGGTCCCTGCGCTTCTATAAGCCGCATGGGCATGTGTATATTTTTTAATCTTAAAAAAAAAAAATGTAAATGCTATAATCACTTTTTTAAAGGTAGAAAAGGCAAAAAAGGCAAATATCTTAAAAAAGGCAAAAAAAGGCAAATATCTTAAAAAAGGCAAAAAAAGGCAACATCAAATGTGTATATATGGAATCGCGGAAAGCTAAATCGTGGACATTCTTAATCGAATATACTCTATCTCTTTAGCAGAAAAAAAGGCAATTTCCATAAAATCCGTTCCTTGCTCATAACCAATCTACATATTTATTTACGTACATACATACATCTGATTTTGCTTAAGATTATATTTTTTGTCTTTTTTCTATCTGGGCTACTATCTGGATACCCTGTTCGTTCTAACTAAATATATGTGTTGCTGTTTTCCTTTATCTTTATCTCTATCGATAGCAAAATCGATAATATAATCCATCAAAACATCTATAACAAACCCGATAAAAATATCGATAACAAAATCGATAACAAACTGGAAAAAATATCGATAGAAAAATTGATAACAATATCTATAGGAAAAACGATAACAAAATCGATAATAAAATCGATAAAAGCATCGATAACAAATTCGATAAAACTAACGATAACAAAATTGATAAAAATATCGACAAGAAAATCGAAAACACATTGGATTAAAAATAGCGAAAGTAAATGCGATGACAATATCGATAGCATAATCGATATCGATAACAAATGAATAAAAAATATCGTAATCGATAAAAAAATATCAATAGCAAAATCGATAAAAATATTGATTATTATATCGATATGTTCCAAAAATATCGATAGAAAAATCTATGAAAATATCGATAGCAAAATCGATAACAATATCGATAAAAAAAATTTATAACAAAATCGATAAAAATATTTATAACAAAATCGATAAAAATATCGATTATTCTATCGATAAGTTTCGAGAATCGAGAAAATCTCTAAAATCCCGAAATAGTTTCCAGATTGAGACTCTGTGTCTCTATATCCTTTTCTCTATGATTACCTTTATTTTAATTTTTCTTTCTCTATCTTGATCTTTACTTTTATCGGTATCCTCATCCTCATCTTTTTCTTTATATTTATCTTTGTTTTTATATTTATGTTTATCATTTTCTTCATCTACATATTCCCCTTCACCTTTGCCTTTATATAAGTAAAAGTTTAAATTTACCTTGATTTTCATTTTTGCCTCATCTTTACGCATCTTTTTGTTTGTTTTTATTTTTACCTTTGCCTTTTCTTTATATATGTACGTAGTCACCTATTTTATTCTTGTATTGGTCTTTTTCTAAGTGTTATTCTTTAACCTTTTATTAGCAAATTTTTGTTAAATTAATACCATATGCATACACTCAAGAAGCACTTGTGTCCGCCCCCCATTACCATGTGCAACTTCCGTTGCACCATTTCCGGGGGCAATTTCCGTTGAATTTGACAATTTACTTCCAACCAACCAACTGCCGCTAAAGAAGTGTCACTTCAAAAATTACGACCTAAGACCCCATTATCATTGTAAGTAAAGTGAAATAATCATCCATATGTTAACCGACTCCTGTCACATTTTCAGTTTCGGTAATGTCAGTATGAAAATTTTGTCTTAGCCCCTAAAGTCTGCGATTCTCTATAGCACTAGACTAAAGCTAGCGAAGTACTTTCCCACAAAAGAGACCACAAGCATCAAAAGGAATGCTTCCAATAATTCTCTACTTTTTTTTACTCAATTAAATTCAGAGCAAGTTCGTTACTTAAGTCTTTCGTTAGACACTTTTATTGGGCAGCTTATATTTTTTATTAGACAGCAGACAAGGCAAGTAAGTATAGAATATGCTGGAAGTCTATATTTGAGTTCACTTTATATTCACATAATTATAAAAGTGCAATCAATACACACACATATATACACAAACACGTGTTTGCACATACTTATGCACTACGTCCCCCATTTCACCCACACCGATAATTAAGTGTATATACTTTTAAGTAAACATGTAAATCGCCTCATTCACACGCTCTTAGTTTACATTTACTTCTCGATGCAAATTTAAATTGCATTCAGTTGGCTAAGGAAAGCGGACGCGCCTTCAATTTGCTGATATGTCTGATTGTGAATCATCTTTTGCATTAGCCTAAAACATGCAACAAATTGCAGCAGCGAGCAAGAAAAATAAGAGCACAAACACTAACGCTGCCATACTAAACTAACAAACTACTACTTTTTATTGTCGTTTTCCGTCACATCAATGCTTCATCTAGTTAGATGTATATATATCATTTTTTTTATTGTCTCGCATGTAATCCGAATGGAAATTGTTCATACAAATAAATGATAAATTAATTTGCAAATTAAAAGTATAGCATGAAATCGTGTGCAGAGCGCTGAGTGCTGAAGAAAGAAAACGAAGAAGACGCGTATAAAGAACATTGCTGAGGGTGAGGTAGGCAAAAAGAGTCATGGGAAGTGATCATAAATATATTCAAACAAAAAGGCATCTCTCTAATACTCACACCGCCAGTAATTATCCAGAGATGCATGTGTGGCTCGATACTAACACATATATAAATATATACATACATGTACAGCAGATTATTTAAATGTGTATATGCTAAGGCCAATTTTAATAATCTTTGTACGCTCACTTTGGCAATTTTTTATTTATTTTTTTTTCCACAACTGGCGCGCGTGCTCATGCAGCAATTGAAGTGTGTCTATGTATGTGTGTAAACAACATATTTATTTGTATATGTCTTTATTTTCTGATGTTGAGGAAGAAGTTGTATCGCATTTTGTTTAATTTTTACTTCCCTGCTTTTATTATTTAGCGACTGCCGCATGTGGAAGCTTGCAGTTTCCCAGATGCCCGAGGCTGCACCACCAACAGCTGTTTATTATTTATATGCATAAATTCAGCTACATATACATACTCGTATATTTACTTGTGTAGTCGTGTGCAGGTTTTTCTTTTATATTCTATTTCCCTGATTTTTTGTTGTTGTTGTTGAAAAAAGCATGTCTTTAACGAAAGCAATACACATCTTTTTCACTTGGTTGTTACGCTGTTTGCTTTAATTTTGTTTTTCTGATTTTCATTTCTGACTCATGGCGTACACATATGTGCATGCATATGCATATGCACACACACACATATGTATGTGTTTTTGTGTTTTATCCACCTTCAGTGAGCCTGTGA